ATAGAACTAGTTAAACAAGACATGCATGAATCCACACCATCCAATCAGTCTTATAATCGAAATGTTAACATCAACTTGTAATCTCTTAAAAGAAATTTAAAAAAAATACTCTACCTTGGTGGAATTTAAAATGCAAAGAGGCAGTATTAAATTGTAAAAAAGCATATATAGTATTCAAGAATGATCTCACAGAACGAAATTATATTAATTTTAAAAGACTACAAGCTGATAAAAAAAAATCTTTGAAGACTGAAAGACAGCTTAGCTGGAAAATACTATGCGAAACTTTTAATAGATCTACTCCATTGACTAGAGTATGGAATTACATTAAAAAGTTTAACAAAACTTTTGTTCAAAATGTCACATTAGTCATAGATTCTAGGGCTAATGAATTTTTGAAAAAATATACTCCAGAAACAGATGAATCACCTCTAACTCCTCACTCCTCAAATGATTATCACTGTTATTATTTTACCAAACCTTTTACCATGACCGAATTCAATTCAGCTGTTAACTCTAGAAAGAACACTACTTGTGGTTTAGAATCTGTTCCATATAAAGCTTTAAAAAATATGAATACTGCGTGTAGAGAACTATTTTTGAAAATATATAATATGTCATGGTTTCATTCACTTATTCCTAACGATTGGAAAGAAGATTGTTTGATACCCATTTTAAAGCCTGGAAAAAACCTCACATTGCAGAATCTTACAGACCTATACCACTTACATCTTGTATGGGTAAAATATTTGAGCAAATTATAAAATCTATATTAGAATTTTATCTAGAAAAAATTGTCTTTTACCATCAAATCAGTTTGGATTCAGACGCCGTAAGTCATCTATAGAAAGTATTGCATTTCTTCATTTAGACATCTTTAAAGTTATGGAAAATAATGAAGTATTTATATACTTTGACATTGTTGGTGCATTTAATAACGTTAATCTTCATGAACTCGCCGCAGAGTTGAGGTCCTTGGGCATTCCTGAAAAAGTTGTAAAATGGATATTTAACTTTTTACATGAAAGAAGAGTTTTTGCTAAAGTTAATAATAATAATACAATTATTGGTCCTAGGCTCAGTTATAAAGGTGTTTGTCAAGGAGGAATATTAAGTCCACTTGTCTTTATTTAATACATATCTAAATTAAATAATATTTTAGGATCAAATGTTACTAATTTATAATATGTAGATGATTTGGTCATATATGCCTCAGGAACAAAGGTCAAAAACTTGATAACCATTTTAAATGAGGCTTTAAAGAAATTGCACATCTACTTTTCACACTTAAATTTAGATATTAGTACCGAGAAAAGTAAATTTGTAATATTCAATAAAATTCGTCCATTTAACACTAGAATAATTTATAATAATACATTTTACCAATAGAAAGTTGTGCAAAATTCTTAGGTGTAATTTTTACAAATAATTTATCTTGAACCAAATACGTGAATCCTTTCTCAGACAGAGCTTCTAAGGCCTTTAATGTATTAAAAGCTTTCGCTAGTACTAACTGGGGAGCTGATCCAGAAATATTATTAATGTTATATAAGTCTTTAGTGAGGAGCCATTTTGAGTATGGCTTCCTTTGTTTTGCATCAAATAAAAAACTACTAAACAAATCAGATATTATACAAAATAAGAATTTAAGACTTATTACCGGCTCTATGAGAACAACTCATATTGTTTCTTTACAGGCTGAATGTCTTACTCCTCCTATCTTACTTAGGTTTAAATATCTGAAATTTAGGTTTTTATTAAATATTACTTCTTTGTCTCATCATCCTCTTTTTCAAAAAGTATTATTCTACTATAATAGTATGACTCCTATATCTAACTCAGCCCCATATATACTCCATGACTTTCATGAAGTGATACGATATGATGAACAATATAATATTCACAAAAGCACACATACTTGGCCTTGTTATAAGGGGAATTATGAAAGTAAATTCAGTCATATACACATAAAAATTGATGAAAAATTGAAAAGAAAAGAGGAGGTTTATGAAAATAAAGTAGCCTGTGCATTTTACATACCTCATCTGAAAACTGGGCGTGGCCTTTCCATTCCTGCATCAGCATACATATACACTGCAGAATGTTATGCTGTCTTAATCGCTCTTTAATATATAGAAGAACACCCACATGTATCTAATAAATGGTTAGTGATCTCTGATAGCATGAGTGTCTTGAAGGCACTGAAGGTTCTTGCCTTTAGATGCTAAAACGTCTTTCATCATATATGAAATCAAAAGTTTGTGGTGGAAATTGAAAGAAAATAATTTGGAAGTAAAATATTTATGCACTCCGTCACATATTGGTGTTCAAGGAAATGAAAGCGCAGACCATTTAGCTAAAAGTACAGTTACAGCTCATATTGACAGGATAACTGGTGTTGAAATACCACATACAGATTTATATTCCATTTTAATGCAACAGTTAAAAGAAGAATGGAAAATGCAATGGAATGCTGTTTTAGAGGCAGGAAAAGGTCGTTGGTATGCATCAATTAATTCAGAATTAAGTATTCCTTGGTTTTCTCGCAACGAGAGATCATCTTCATCATCATCATTACAGCCCTTCACAAGTACACTGCTGAACATAGGCCTCCCCCAAGGAATGCCACAAAGCACGGTCCTTAGCCACCTGCATCCATCGACTTCCTGCATATTTTACCTGGTCGTCACTCCATCTAGTAGGGGGACGCCCAACACTTCGCCTGCCGGTACGAGGCTATCACTCGAGAACCTTTCTTCCCCATCGGTTGTTGGTTCTTGGAGCTATATGGCCGACCCATTGCCAGTTCAGCTTACTAACTCGTTGGGTTATGTCGGTCACTCTGGTTCTACTGCGGATATCCTCATTTCTGAGTTTATCACGCAGAGAAACTCCGAGCATAGCCCTCTTCATTGCTCGCTGAGCGACCTTGAGCTTCCTCATCCGGCCAGCAGTGAAGGACCACGTCTCAGTTCCGCATGTCATCACTGGCAACACGCACTGGTGTTACAGTCTCGTTTTCAAGTTTTGAGGTTTACCTGACGAGAAGATGTGCCGTAATTTCCCGAACGCTGCCCAACCGAGTTGAATCCGTCGATTGACCTCTCGGTCGAAGTTGGACTTACCTAGTCGGACTATTTGTCCCAGGTAAACATACTCGTTAACAACTTCGAGCTTAGTGTTCCCAACAACTACCGGCATAGGTGTGACATGGACATTAAACATGATCTTTGTTTTGTCCATGTTCATCTTAAGACCTATCCATTGGGAAGCACTATTGAGGTCATTGAGTATAGTGCTTAGGTCCTCCAGCGATTCTGCCATAAGGACTATATCGTCGGCAAATCGAAGGTGAGTGATGTACTCGCCATTGATGTTGATACCGTATACTTTCCAGTCCAGAAGCTTGAAAACGTCTTCCAATGCAGCGGTGAAGAGTTTCGGGGATATAACATCACCCTTTTTTACACCTCTCTGCAATTGAAGTCGGCCAGTTGTTGGCCCCTTGGGTTCCGTTGCCCTATTCCAAATTTCCCCACTTTCAGCTCACCATTCTCTCGTGTGCCTAGTTTTGCACTGAAGTCTGCCATTAACACCGTATATTGGGTTTTGGAGGAATGCATGGCTCTAGAGATATCCTCATACATTTCCTCCACCTCCTCATCGGGGTGTGCCGATCGAGGTTGGTACGTAAACCTGTATGACCTTCAGCGAATACCGTTTGGTGATTCTGAGTATAAGGTACGCAACCGTCGTCGACACACTCTCAATCTTTACAACGTTGTTAACGAGAGACTTATGGACGATAAATCCGACACCTCCTTGGGACAGATGGTTGCCCTCCCGGTAATAGAGCAAGTTGCCGGATTCGAGGATTACCGTTTCCTCCCTCTCTCTTCGGACTTCGGATAATCCTATAATATGCCAGAGTAATTTATCTATCTCTCCTTCCAGCTCCACAATCTTCTCGACAGTCCTCAGGGTGCGTGCGTTGTATGTTGCCAGGTCTAGTCGTCGTAGGTGGCAACCGAACCTCCACCGGAGATTCTTAGCAGCCTCCGCCCCGCCGTTACCATGGTCGCCACCGTAGCCAGGAATAGCGGGGCCGCCGGGGACTGGGGGCCGTCTCTTAGTAACTTTATCCATTTGGGGGGTATTTGCCATAGCCAACGAGAGATACCATAGCAGAAAATTTTATACAATAATGCGCAAACTTAGATTTGGCCACTATCGACTGAATGCTCATCTTTCCAGGATGAGAATAGTAGCATCTGCAACATGCATCTTCTGCGATACAGAAGCAGGTCAGACTGTAGAACATATAATATTTAACTGCCCAGCGTACGCCATAGAAAGATTGCTACTCATTGAAAAACTTATACAAGTTTATGAAAACTCAGAAAGCATCCGAATACTAAGACATATTTAGCACTTTGCAATTTTATTCATACTACTCTAAAAGAAATATGAAATATGGTATCCCTGTTTTTGAAAATATTGGATTGACAAATCTACATTGATTGTAAGTAACAAAGATTATAATATAAAGAAGACTTGACTTTAGCCTTTACGGTTTTTGAAAATATGAAGAATTAAAGAAAATAAGACTTGGCTTCGGTCTTTATGGATTTTGATGAGATGGAAAGAACAAAAATAAGACTTGGTTCCGGCCATTACACTTTAAAATTTTATATATTCAAAATAAAAAAGACAAGGCTGTATGGCTTAGTTTCTTTGCCTGCTCTTTTGAGCGAATAATAAAAACAACAACAATCAAATGTCAAATAAAATTGTCATACGCGTTTGAGATGTGTCAGTGAGCGATCGTTCGTCGCTTGGTTCCTTGGTGTAATTTAGTTTGTTTCGTAAATGTGGTGCGCTTGTATAATAATGAGAACACACATGTTGGACTACCTAATTATAAAGTGATGAAAGTGTTTTAAGTGCCGTGTCTTGTTAAAAATAGTTATTTTCATTTGTATGTCATCGGACTCTTCAATATGGCGGCCCCCCGTCACAAATCACAACAGAAAAATATATCTTCAATATTCTCAAAGTTGCACGGAGCTTTTTCTGATGCCGTGTGCCCAACAAAGCTCGCAACCGACAAAAGAACCCTCGACAAGACTTGGAAATTGATGGATAAAGTTGTAAAATTGTGTCAACATCACAAAATGAACTTGAAAAACAGTCCGCCGTTTATTCTTGATATTTTGCCGGATACATATCAGCGGTTGCGCATTATTTACTCTAAATACGAGGATAATATGCAGGAGTTGAATAATAACGAACATTTCAATATGTTTATTATAAACTTAATCAGAAAGTGTAAGCAAGCTATTAAGTTGTTCAAAGAAGGTAAAGAGAAAATGTTTGATGAAAATTCGCATTATAGACGTAATTTGACGAAGCTTAGTCTCGTGTTTAGTCATATGCTCAGTGAACTAAAGGCGATGTTCCCCAATGGAACATTTGCGGGTGATCAGTTTCGCATAACGAAGAGTGATGCCGCCGAGTTTTGGAGAACGAATTTCGGCAACAGGTTAGTGTTTTAGCTTCACCTAATACCCACTAAAGGTATCATATTGTGGATTATTACCCAAATACATTCCTTTATCAAAATGTTGGTTACTGACTATGGATTTTATATTATTGAATCTGATTTCGTAAAATATGTCTTAACAATACTTTAATCTGTTTAAAATGGGGTTGAGTTTAGGAGGAGTTCAGTCACATACACACGGACAGAAAAATTATATAATATGCATGTATTATACATATAATACTTCCTCTTGAATCATTCCGTCTATTGGTGAAAACTGCAATAAAATCCATTGTGTAGTTTAAAAAGTTTAAGAGTGTACTTTTAAACTTTTTTGTGGGACATATGGCGGGAAGCGACTGTTTTATACTATGTAGAGAAGAGATTCACTATGATGAGTGTCCATTTTCTGTGGCATATGCTAAAACTCTTGGAGGTGTCAAACATTGGTACCACTAATAGAGAAGACATTTACATACTTTCTATTATATAACATATTCCCATTCTTTATAACTCTGTGTATCCTGTGGTAGCTTAGGGGTTAAGAGCTCCCTGTAACTATCATAATATGCAAGCAACCCAGGGTTAATCCCTGGTAGCATTAATAAAATTGTTACTTGAAACTTTAAGTGCTAATCCTGATGATCACTTATTCACATTGTTTTTAATGTTGTTGAGCTGTTGTTGCTTAGGACTAAAGACTGCAATGTTATACACGCAAATTCTGATATTCTAGTAGCACTGCTAGTAGTAAGATCAAACTTAGCACCTTCAAAGCTTAATCTGGGCATATGATAACAAATTCGCTAATAAGCCCTGAGATTAAGTAAGAAGAAACTGTGTTTTGGCAAGAGTTCTTACTGCACATTGCTATTTTAAAGTTCGTCTCTTCAGCTTTTGGACTCAGCAGCACAAGGATGTGCTGTTTCTAATCCTTAATGGAAGAAACTGACCTGCACAACCTTTATAGATTGCAGACCCTCAATGTGTAAATTTAGCACTCATTTTGGTAAATATAACAGCACAGAAAAAGTGAAAATACAGCTAAGCAACCCCTTTAATTCATTTGAGATACAGGGCATGGCAGTGAACTGTAGCTATAGCAGCAATCACACTAGATCATACTGATCGCAGTGATGCTTGTCTTGCTAGACCTGCTTAACTGCTTGCAGAACAAAAAATACATAAACACAAGTTCATTATTCTAGTACTGACTAAGAGCTAGATCTTTGTGCAGGTACTCTGTATCCGATTGCAGAATATACACTATTGTTATGTGCATAATGTACACATAACAATATTGTCACTCCTTAAAACATTTTTGTGATCCAATAAACCATCAAAGTGCTTTTCTGTTCCGTTAGGTGGTATGGGTAATCAAACAAGCCACCTAGTTATAAAAAATATGGTATAACTTTCATTGAGCAATTAATTGGAGGGCCCAAATCAAACTGGTATTTGTTTTAAACATATTACTACCATATTTTCTCATCCACTCACATTTGGAAACATTGTAGCATAGACCAGATGCAGCCGTAATATTTTTTTTTGTATTTAGTGGTGTGTGATAGTGAGTTGTTAACTTAAAAAAAAATAGTTCATGGTGTATGTGCATTTACAACTCAATAGAATTTGTCAACTGTTACCTTCAACTTGACAACATGAACTGTACATAACTCAACTTAAAAAAAGTAAAAAAAAATAATAATTTTAAAAACTAAAAGGAATGAAATGTGATGTATGAAGGAACAAAATTTTACCTAAGGCTATAAAATATATTGAATCTACCAATTTTTTAAAAATAAGATTAAACTCTATGTAATACTATTCCCAATGACTTCATCCGCATGGAATTTATTATGATTTGATTTCATGGGTTCTAGTTTTTATGTGTGGAACCCTTATTTTTTTTTTCTTAAATAAAATTAGCCTAAGTTACTCCTTATAACATCAGCTATCTGCCTGTTGAAATCCCACCAAAATTGGTCTAACCAATTTGGAGATTAGCCGGAACAACAGATGGACAGACAAAAATTTAAAAAAAAGTTTTTTTTTTGTTATAAGTGCCATATATATTTAGTAAAGCGTAGTAAAGCACTTAGTAAAAAGTTATTATTTTAACATTACAAACACACACTTCTGTTTTATATATTTGTATAGATAAAATAATCAAGATTTTCTTTTATTTACTGACAAATATTCTGGTCATGCTGGTCTTTATATGAATCCTTGTTGTTTTATTTATAAACTAGCTGTTCCCCGTGACTTCACCTGTATGTAATTTATAACAATTGGTGTTTACGGATTTTAATTTTTGTACGTGGAACCTAACTATTTTTCTAAAATAAAAGTAGACTATGTTACTACTTATAACATCAGCTATCTGCCAGTAAATGTCCCGTTAAAATTGGTACAGCCATTTTGGAGATTAGCCGGAACAAATGGACAGACAGACAAAAATTTAAAAAATGGTGTTTTTGTTATAAGTACTGTATATACTTTCATATGCATTTAGTTAAAAGCTGTTACTTTAACATTACAAACAGACACTTCAATGTTATTTATATGTATAGAGAAGAATGCTTATTGCCAAACTACTACTACGTATAGTAGATAGTTTTTAGTTATCAAATAAATGAAATGCCCTATATTAGTTTACTTGCACCAAGGCTAACAAACAATAAAAGTACTGGGACACCTAAAATAAATTTAATATTTATGGTTGAATTGAAGACTGAAATTGTGTACTACTTGTACCTGTTACCACTCTTGGCATTGCTAGTGTGGCCATACACTTATTTATTACAGTAAATACCATTACAGTTACAGCCTATTAAACTCTGCTGAACATTGGCCTCGCCTATCGATTGCCACAGGAGGGATATTTGCCATAGTTGCCACATTTGGCATGGTTGTCAATCCAACTGCAGTTTTTTTATTCATTATTAGGAAGACGTTGCTGCTCATTTCCTGATGAGTTTCTTTCTTTCGCCTCTTACGACACTGACGGAATGATATGGGGAAGGAGATATTCTTACACCGCCACTACATGAATAGTTACAGTAAATGATATAGTTTAATTAAAAATATTATTACCTTTTCGGTATTTTGGTGGTTCACCCAACACTGTACTCACACTAAGCGAGAACCTCTCTTGCCCATTATACCAAATATTACTAATTATTATTTTCCATTAAAACACTTATTTGTTGGAAATTTCCATTTTTTAACCCTTGGACTACAGTATTCCACAGATCCAATGGTAAACTAGATGATTTGACCTTTTTCAAAGATTTGTTTTTATCATTTTAGTACTTTTATTTTTTTAATTAAATTGTTAAGGTTTTGTATAGTGCCTGCCTTTGTTGATGTAGGCAAAAAAAAATGTTTTCCAAAGATCCCTATGTAGAGCATAGAGATCATGAGGGCATCCACGACTTTTTCTGCCACCAGGGCGGCGCCACTAGAAAGTGAGCCATAATATTTCACAGATTTCATAGCGGGGAAGTTAATTTGTTCGGAAAATGTAAAGTTTAGTGTTTCTTTCTGCATTATTAGCTATATTTTATAATAATAAGATTAAAAATAAATAAACCAAACCACAGAATATTCATAAAGTAGAAAAATTAAAAAAAATGTGCAAAAAAAATTAAAAAGCAAACCATTTGTGCATTGTTTTGTGTATTAATTTAATACTCTAGAAACTGATAAACTTTTATTAAAAACGAATTTCTCAATTAAATAACACTGTGTAACAAATAACTTTACTTCAGTGTCAACTAGCGACATCTGGTGAGCAGAAAATTATTAGCCCTCATTGATTCTTGTGTTGTCTTTATTAGGTGGTAGGACTGTCTGATTTTCAGCCTAAGAATCTGTCTGGGTAGGTACCAGCCTCTTACCTGTTTCTGCAGTGAAATAGCAGTACCTGAACTGCTGTATTCCAGTCTGAAGGTTAAAGAGAGCCAGTATAATTACAGGTGGTGACGCATTCATTCTTATTCCTCGCAGGTGACAATGCATATGTAGAATTCTTTATTGAAAGTTGGCTGCAGGTGTCCATGGTCTGCAGTTGCCACTAACCGTCAGGTATACTGTAAGTTCGCTTTTTTTATAGGATGGGGTGACAAACAAGCACACAGTCCACCTGATGGTAAGTGGTTACTGCGACCCATAGACAACTACATCTATCCTCAATAAAGACTCAAGATGCAGATGCGTTGTCGCCCGTGAGGACTAAGATGGAATGCCTCTTTGCCAGTAAAAAGGGTCTCCGGTTCTCTACACTCACCATACGAAACACAGCAGAGCGTTAAGTTGCTATTTTACGCTGGTTTTCTGTGAGAGCGTGGCCCTTCCCCGGTCGAGCCGACCCATTCGTGCTATAACTATACTACTAATATAGCTGCAGCATGGCTCTACCACGTAAAAAGTGTAAGTGTGTTGTCAGTTCAATTAAAAAAAAAAGTAAATTTAAAGCCTTTATACTTAAGAGTGAGGAAGTGTCTGCCGCGATGCCCCACTGCGTGTTGGCGGACTTCACATGATATCGTGAGCAATTACTGATAAAAACGATAGGCGCTATTACGACAAACAATATCCGGTGTATGGGGCGGAAGCGATTTGCGTCAGCCGCTTATCGATCTACATTATAAACCGATATGACAAGAAGGAGCCAATCCTATTGTTACATATCTAGGCATATATGACAAAAACGTCGAATGTTAACTAAGATCTGCGTACTTATAAAACTTAACGGAGCTGCTTCTAGTCATCTAAATTATCAATCATTTTAGTTATTTGTAATGTTTCCAATGAAAAATAATCGTAATGTTCTTATTAAATAAATGAAAGTCTAAAATTAGATAAGGTGCCAACCACAATAAATATATTTAGTAAATCGGAAAATTAATCATTCAATTTTGACACATCTTTTGTAAAGCATAAAAACTTAAAATAATTACGGCCCTTAATACATCCCACTGTTGGACACCGATTTC